AAATGGAATAAACCCAGAAGAAGGCAAAAAACTTTGGAAAGAAAACACAGAACAAAACTCCAGCGAACCCTCTTCTTCCCAAACCCAAACTAAGAAAATGAAAAATAAACAAAAAGACAAAAAAGTGACAACAGAGCAAGAAAGCACTCGATCAAGATCTAACTCAAAATCAAGAATCAATATATCAAATGAAAATAAATTTGAGCCTATGGAATATATGGAAATAGAAGAGAAAGAAAATAAACAAAATTCAAAACAAAACCAAAAATCTGACCGAAGGACACCACAAGCAGTTGAAGACAAAGCTTCTAAAAACTCAAGAGATGGAAAAAAACTGGAGAGGACAAATGATATAAACCTAGTAGGTAACTTTACCCCCAAAAAATGAAAATATAACCATGGCACATAAGATCCTGCAATGGAACTGTCGTGGAATAAAATCTAATTACAATGACCTACTCATACTTATGTCACTACTGTATCCAGCCGTCATCTGCTTACAGGAAACTTTTTTACAAGAAAATGCCAACTTAAAAATTAAAAATTATAAACAATATCACTATAACCACAATACAGGACATAGAGCTAATGGAGGAGTGTCAATATTGATTAGAAATGACATACCGCAAAGTAAAGTACACATTAAAACTAAATTACAAGCAATAGCAACACAAGTGACACTAGATAAAACCATCACAATTCTTTCCATTTATATATCCCCACAGGAACCAATAAATACAACAGAAATAAACAACTTGATGGAGCAACTTCCTAAACCCAGAATCTTACTAGGAGACTTTAACAGTCATAATCCTATATGGAATAGCAAAAATACTAAAATAGATACTAAAGGTAAAATATTAGAAGAAATATTTAACACCCATAACTTATGTCTATTAAATCATAAATCCTCAACCTACCTTAATCCCTCCAATGGAACAGAATCGTCAATAGACTTAAGTATATGCGATCCAGAAATTTGTATGGATTATAAATGGAAAACATGGAGCGACACATGTGGTAGTGATCATTACCCGATCATTCTAGAAAATCAAAAGCCTGCCAATGAAGAAAAGATAGGCTCCGTCAGATGGAAACTGAAAAGAGCCAACTGGGAGGGTTTCAAAAACAAATGTAAACAATTACTGATACAGTCAAAGGACACAGACAACTCGATAGAATACTTTACCAAAACATTAATAACAATTGCCTCAGAAAATATACCAAAAAAGCAAAATAATTATAAAAAAACTAAACCCTGGTTTGACAAAAACTGCCAAAAAGCAGTCAGAAACCGGGAACAACATTGAGAAAATTCAAAAAGGAACCCACAACCCAAAATTTGATTGAAATGAAAAAAAACTCAAAGCAGTAGCACGGAAAACTGTTAAAAAAGAAGCCAAAAAGGGAATGTTGGAAAAAAATATGTAAACAGCCTAAATACACATTCCAAAACCAAGACAATATGGGAAATGATGAGAAAAATAGCTGGAAAAAATCAAATATACCCAATAATACATCTTAAAAAGGACAACACTAAAGCAACTAGCAAAAAAAGAGATAGCAAACCTACTAGCAGAGACATTTGCAGAAAACTCTAAAATGAGCAAAATCAAAACCTACAAAAGTGTAAACAAAAAGATATAAATAACCAACTAAATTTTTCATCCAAAAATACAGAAGCCTACAACAATCTATTGACTGAAGCAGAACTAATAGAAGCCATAAAAAATCCCATAATACAACAGAAGGCCCAGACCAAATCCACTATGAATTTATTAAACAACTACCACAAGAATCGCTGAAATACCTTTTGAATATTTTTAACAATATTTGGACTACTGGGAAATTTCCCAAAATATGGAGAGAATCGGTAATTATTCCCATACTCAAAGAAGGAAAAAGGGAAACAATCCACAAAGTAACCGACCAATAGCATTAACAAGCTGTCTATGTAAGACAATGGAGCAAATGGTCAATGCCAGATTGAGTTGGTTTCTAGAAGAAGGAAAACACATATCAAAATATCAATGTGGATATAATAAAGGAAGAAGTACAATAGATCACATAATAAGACTAGAAACAGCCATAAGAGAGGCCAATTTAAACAAACAACATCTAATGGCCATATTCTTTGATATAGAAAAAGCATTTGATCAACAATGGAAACATGGAAAGATCTGCATAAACTAGGATTAAGAGGTTGACTACCAAACTTTGTAAAAGGATTTTTAACAGATAGACTCTTCCAAGTACAAATAGATGCTACATGTTCTGATTATCAAAAGCAAGAAGAGGGAGTACCACAGGGAAGTGTACTCTCCCCTACACTTTTCAAAATAAAAATAAATGACATAATAAAAAAACATCAAATCAGGAATACACTGTAGCCTTTATGTTGATGATTTTACAATATATTACAGATCGAGAAACCTCAACACAGCAGAAAGACAACTTCAACAATGCTTACATCAAATAAACAAATGGACACTCGAAAACGGTTTTAAAATATCAAAAACAAAAACAAAATCTGTACACTTCTGCCAACTGAAAAAATTACACAATAACCCAACTCTAAAACTAGGAAATGAAGAAATATCAGTAGTTCAGCAATATAAATTTCTAGGAATGATCTTTGACTGCAAACTGACCTTCAGACCACATATCAATTACCTAAAAACAAAATGTTTTAAAGCTCTCCAACTACTGCGAACAGTAGCCCATACAGAATGGGGAGCTAGCAAAAAAACCCTTCTTAAACTTTATAGAACGTTGATCCGCTCCAAATTGGACTATGGCAGCATGGTCTACCAATCAACTAGAAAGTCTTATCTAAAAACAATAAACACAATACACCATGAAGGCCTTCTGATAGCTCTAGGAGCCTATCCCACCTCACCTATAGAGAGTCTACATGTAGAGGCAAATGAACCCCCATTACAACTAAGAATGAAGAAACTAGCAACTCAATACTATCTAAAACTCTCTTCCTGTCCTTCTAACCCCACACACGATTGTGTACTTACACCAAATCACAAAGAGAAATTTAATCTTAACACAAATAAAATCAAAACATTGGGACTCGAATGGAAGGAATCATCCAAGAAAATAATATACAGTCTAATCAAATACTTAAAACCAACCAATCAAACATACCACCATGGATAATCAAAAATCCAAACATAATATTAAGTTTAAACAAATTATCAAAATCAAAAACACACCCCACAACATACATTGAAAAATTTTTCAAAAATAAAAAAGAAAAATATCAAAACTATGAAAGTATTTACACGGACGGCTCAAAAGACGAAGAAAAAACAGGCAGCGCAGCAATAACAAAAAAAACAATTATCAAAAAACGCTTGCCAAATGAAGCATCAATTTTCAGTGCAGAAGCCTACGCAATAAAACTAGCACTAAATTTCATATAAAAAAACAAAGGAGAAAACTATATTATTTTCTCAGATTCATTATCTGTATTAACATCCCTAAAAGGGAAAAGACTGGAAAATCCATTAATACAAAGTCTTCTATATAAACTACATTCAATGGAAAAAAGCAAAAATATCATCTTCTGCTGGATTCCTAGCCATGTTGGCATCCAAGGAGGAGATAAGGCAGATACTGCTGCTAAATCATCTTTAAAAATGACAATTGATGAAAATCTTCAAATTCCATATACAGACTTAAAATCTAAAATAAATAAATACATAAGAAACAAATGGCAAAATTCATGGAAAAACCAAACCGGAAATAAACTATTTCAAATTAAACCTAAAATAGGAAAATGGGGAAATAATCTTGGAAATACTCGGAAAAAACAAGTCGTCATAACCAGAACACATATAGGACACACATATTTAACCCATTCTTATATATTAAAAAAGACAAATCCACCAAAATGTAGATGTGGAAGCCTAATCACAATAAAACATATTCTATTGGAATGCAAAATCATAACTAGAATAAGACAAAAATATCTCAATGGAAAAGGTTTGAAAGAAATTTTCAAAAATACAGACACAGAAAAAATATACAGTTTTCTCAAGGAAATAAAGATCCTCAATAAAATATAACCCTTTCAAATAGTGTATGTGTATATGTGTTTATAAACATATATATGCATGTATGAATGTAAATATTAAAATACTGGATTGATGTTCAATCAAAAACAGTCACTGGGCTTTCCAAAAAAGCAATCCCAAAAATACAGAATTATGAAACCGAACAGCCTTTCAACTTTTATACAAAATAACCATCTTAAATTCATATACCCTTTTTCAGGGGTCTTTAATAGGGCTTTTACAGTCCTGCTGATGTCTTCCTCATCCATGTGGACAAGGTGAAACTAAAGAACAGTGTAAGTCCAGGTAGGTTAAAGGTAATCTTCAATAATTCAAGCAAGAATCTGTCAAAAGAATAACAAAAGATGAACAATGCAAGGTAACAATCACAACAAATCTAGAAAAAAAGTCAATCTGTATTGGAATGAATGTAAAACAGCCCCTCCACAAATTTATAGACAAAATATACAGATGCATGATGGGATTTCTTCCTAGCCACTTCTCAATCTCATTGACCATATTTCTGTTCTTTCTTGTCTTGAAGTTAGAATCCAGTGAGAACACTTGTCTGTATCCCTTTTGTGTGTTAACACCATTCTTTTTTTACTTTTAATGTTTTTACTTCATTACTGTTGTTTTGCCTACTTTTATCTTGCATATATTGGTTGCTTGGTATTATTTTTCCCCTGTACTTTTCTTTCTTTTGTTAATGTTTATTGCAAACTTTGTCAATTCTGTTTGTTGGGCATTTCTGCAATTTAAATTGAACCATAGCATATATTTCTGCAATTTATATTGAACTACAGTATATGATCATAAAATATTTGTAAGAAAACTTATCAAAAATTGTAGTTCATCTTAGCCTATTTTGTTTTTAGAAATTAATCTCCAAGTTGATGATTTATCCTAGTTTTTTTTTTCTTTTTCATGCAGAGATTCAAGTAAACACTGCGATATTTTTAAGAAATCAGATGGAATTGATGTTGTGGAAAGTATTATCCAAAATGTACTTGGACATCAAGAGATGAGGTAAGTATTTTCAGATATTCCATTTGATATTTTAGTAAAGAATTATTTACATTAAAAGGTTTACTCAAAGAAATATCCAAACTTCTCTTGATTATTACAATCAAGAGAAGTTTAGTATATTCTTTGACTGTTATTAATTTTTGTATACTATGTGTTATTTAAATAGACCTTATCAAAATTTTTAGATATTCAAATAATTTGATGAAGCTTTTATATATTAAGATTAATAGAAAAACAACGATATTGATCCTATTTCTTATACAATTCTTCTAAGAAGTTAGTATGTTTAATATGTAAACTAATAATTTTTACATTATTTACACGTGGATTATGGTTCTCATCTTTGTTGCTGTTATCATAATATTTTGGCCATTGTGCTCTCTGGCCTTCATCAGGTTCTTGCCAATATACCCTGACCCCCTTCAGGGAATTTCAAGCTGAATCCTTTATTTAATCTCTGAGGGTAGTTCTCAGTTATTGCTCATCCCATTTCCACTGTGTCCAAGTATACACTGTCTAGTCCAGACCAGCCCAGGGATTGAACACACAATTACTATGTCACCAAATCCACTAGGCTATTGTCTTGTGGAATAATTCTGAGTGGAGAACACGGAGACTTAAACCTAACCTGCCTGCTGATGAGTGCAGCCATAAAGCACTCATCAGCAGGCAGGTTAGATTTAAAGCTTCAAGTTCTCAATAAAGAATTAATCATGTCAAGCCCCAGCATTTATATAATTAAGCCTGACAATGTCTCACAAACTGATCAAATGATGATCTAACACCCAACCCTTCATTATTTTAAAAGTGCTAGAAGGCAGTGGCTGAGAGCCAATTTAATTGAGAAGAAAAAGAAAATTTGACCACTGATTCACATTAAGGCATCAGTTTTTTGGGGGTACTGAAGCACAAAATTAACAGTGGCTCAAAGTTCTTTCATGATGCGAGTATACTGGTTGATGTTTCCCCATCCCATCCAAGGTAAATGTATTTAAACCACTTGATAAACACCCAATAGAGATTAGACTCCATGGTGTGTGGTAGCGTACAGGACCAATGAAAAGAAAAGGCAAATTACATAGCAAACTCAAACAAAATTAGCAAACGGAATCTCTCTCTGATTCTGATTTAGAAATAGAAGCTGGAACTGGATTCCCCAGATTGAATCTCTAGAGGAAACCTCTGGACAATCTGTCCCCATTCTTGATAGAAAAATACATACCAGCAGAGCAAATTCTTGAGCAGTGAAAAAAATGAGAAGTACCAATGTACTTGTAAACATGAACAATAAAAAGCCTACAGATAATATACTGAAAATGAAATCTTTCCACAATTTAAAATGCAAAGCTTCTGACATGAAAGACTTAACACTTCAAAGGGAGTTATTAGAAATAGTGAGCTGTCCTTAGCTAAAACAGAGGAATAAATGCAATCTTAGGAAAACATGGGGTCCCCAAAAGAAAAGGGGGGTTATCAGCAAATCACATACATACATTTTAACACTATTTATATTATTCGGATGATTGTCCTCATCTTTGTTGCCATATTTATCACAACATAAGAGCCGTTGTACTCTCCGGCCTTCTTCAGGTAGTTGGAATGTTGAACTGAACCCTTTATTTCACTCACTGAAGTAGACTTCTATTTCCACATACCATGTCTCATGGATATCAGTTATCTCCTGTTAATTCACCTCTCTAACTTGGAGATAACTGATAACTGACATTCATTAGACATGTCACGTGGAACTAGAACAATCTACCCCTGCAAGCAAAATAAAGGGTTCAGTTCAACATTCCAACCACCTGAAGAAGGCCAGAGCGTACAATGGCTGAAACGTTGTGGTAAATATGGCAACAAAAATGAGGACAATAGTCTGAATAATGTAAATAGTGTACATAATACCTCATTTCAGAAATATAGACAGATACATTTTAACTTTTAATAAACCCACGATCTCAAGAGAAATAAGAATTGGATTTACAATCGAGAAAGTTGAACAATACCTCCACAATCCATGCAGGAGTTTCAAGTGTCAGAAGTATACGTACACCTAGGAGAGTTGCAGAGCACACTTGGTGTGTGGAAAATGTGCTAAAAAACATTCAGATCACAATGAGAAAGATTGTACTGAAGAAACTAAATACTCTTTCAAAAGAACCATCCAGCCTTTTCAAAATATTACTATATATATATATATATATATATATATATATATATATAAAACAATAATAACAAAACAGACAGATATAGAACCCTTATCAAGCAGTTGGTGCAGCTAGGACCAAACAACTGGTCAAAATTCCAAGCACACCTAAAAAGAACATACACAGCTAAAAGCTGCCAAGCAGAATTACTAAATAAATCAAAAGAACCCATATCAAACTCCCATTTTTTTATTTTATTTATTTGGTTGAGCTAACTTGGACATTTATGAGTCTATTATGTCAACCATCACAGTCATGCATCAGTCGGAAGGTCATTAGGATGACATTGTGTGTCATAACATAGTTGGCCAATGTAAGTGGTTGCTGGGTGATCAACCAGTCTTGCTCCATGGGTAGGTGTCCAGAGCAGTACATCACATGCGAATTCATTTTGCTCACCTGAAAAGTGTCCTGAAAAGCATGTTCTGTGTTCCTGTAAGATTGTAGAAATGTCAAGGATGAGTCCATAGAGTGATTTAGTTGGATGTTATCTCTAAAAGATGTTAAATATAGTTCCCAGCATCTGAGTGTAGGTTCCATCAAGCTTAGACTCCAGTGTTTTGGTTAATGTCCAAGCAGTGGCACAATATATTAACACTGCCTCTACAGTGGCACAAAAGAATTTTTGCTTGAGGTTGTCTGGTAGATCAGATTTCCAGATTACATCCATTTTATTCAAGGCAGGCACAGGCTTTAGCTATATGAATTTTCACATCTTTTATTAGAATTTAATTCGCTTCCTAGGTATTGACAGATTTTATTGATTCACTTTGTATTACTGGTTGGAGCCTATGAATTGAGTTTTAGAGGTATTGCCAAACAGTGTAACATCGTTGGCAGCATTTTCTAGATGATGTAGGAGAACTGTAGTATTGGTAATAGTGTCTGCAGTGATAGCTAGGTTATCTACATTGTCAGTATCTGCCAACTTGTTTTACAGTATATCCACTTGAGAGTCTTGGTGATTAAGTAAACCTAGCTGATGATGTTTGTTGAAGCCAAATACCACCTATACAAAACTCTAAACTCAACCGAAAGCAAACCCCATTAAACAAAAATCTCAAAGATTACCAATCTGTCTGCCAACTCTCAAAATAGATGTCTACACAAAGTTCCCCCTCCCTGCAAAAAAAACATGACCAACCAACAAAAAATCACCTGACACCCACAAAAAATAAATTTCAATGTCCAAGAGAGAATGAATGATATGCCACCAAAAAAACGCAAACAAAAATCAAAAGACTGAAATAGTATAAAACTCAAAAAAATACAAACATACAATGTAGAATAATCCAATGGAACTATCATGGAGAAAAGCCAAATTACAATGAATTACTCATGCTAACAACAACATTGAATTCTGATGTTATTTGTCACCAAGAAACATTTATAAAAAAAGACAACTTTAATATTAGAAATTATCAACAATACAATTACATTGACAACTCAAGTCTCGGGACCTCTGGAGGCATAACCATCCTAATAAAAAATGACATACCCCAGAGCAAAATTGACCAACAAACAGAATTACAGGCACTTCGTATAACAGTCACTTTGCACAGAACATATACTTTCTGTATATCCCACTGCATGACCAGATATTCAAGCTGGAAGATATGAGAAAGCAACTATCCAAATCATTCATTCTCCTAGTGGATTTTAATAGCCACAATACTATCCAAGCAGACAAACAAAAAAGGAAAAATTACAGAAAATTTTATTATGGATAATGAACTATGCCAATTCAACCAAAAAGTACTAACACACATCAATCCAGAAACTGGAAGTCTGTCAACAATTGACCTAACAATGTGCGATCCAGCAATTTGCTTAGACTTTACCTGTAGTGTGTACATGTGGTAGTGACCATTTTCTGATCATCCTAAGGAACAGTGAGATGATTGATAAGCACCCATCTAGATAGAAGCTAAGCAAGGCTGACTGGGAAAAATTTGAAAAACTAACTCAAAATAACATTAAAACAGCAGATAATTTATTGGAAACCATAATAACCACAGCAAAAGAATGCATCCCCCAAACAAACCATGGTTCGATGATGGATGTAAAGAAGTAATTAGACTATGTAAAGCAGTACTTTGAAAATTTAAAAAAGAACCAACAATCACCAACCTCATCATTTATAAACTAAATAAAGCAAAGGCTTGTAAAGCAATAAAAGAAGCCAAAAAGAACTGTTGGCAAAAATATGAGCAAATTCTTTTACAAAACCAAAATCAGTTTGGGAAATGATTAGAAAAATATATGAGTAAGATACGCTATACCAGTAAAGCATCTCAATAAATAAGACAAAAAAGCTATAACAAATATATTGGCTGAAACATTCTCAAAAACTTCTTCAAAATGAAAATTGTAAACAATAATCCCAAACTATAAAAGAAAATGCAAAAAAACAAAGAACCTGGGAAGATGACAACAAATCATTCCTTCTAACAGAAGGAGAAGACTCCCTTAAAAGCTCATATAATTCAGCTGTAGTACCAGATGATTTCCACTATGACTTCTTAAAACAATTCTGAAAAGAGTCAATAAAATTGTTACTAAAAATATATACAGATATCTGGACTAAGGGTAATTTCCAAGGACAATAAACAACTGTCCTACTGATTCCAAAACCAGGAAAAGAAAATTCATACCCTGGAAATTATAGACAAATTTTTCTCACAAGCTGTTTATGGAGAAAATTTAGTTTATGGCTTTCATAAAAACAGAAATATAATGGACTTCCTGGTTTGGTTGGAAAACTTTATAAGTATTTATAAGAAAAGAATGTATGACTACTGTATTCTTTGACTTGGAAAAGGCTTATGGGACTACCTGGAAATATGGGATCATGTAAGATCTGTGACACTATTAAGAAGGCACTGGTAAATTGGGAAAAAGGCTTTCAAAATAAACTAGAAAACAAGAAAAACAATGTTTTTCAACAGACTGAAAGTATACTGATAGCAAAAACAAGAAAAACGCTATTTCTCAATAGACTGACAGTATACTGATAAAAAGACAAGGAAAATGGAAGAAAAGGTTATTTGTTTTCTTTTTTCTCCCCACCCCAGGTTTAAGATGCCGCTGACAGCTAGCATAGAAGCCATCTGTTTTTGGACAAATTAATATTAAATGATGGTATTTTCTTAAGTGTCCAATCAACCCTGCATGGCAGAATAGGCTATATTTTAATGACCTCAAATGCTGACAACATAGAGTGTCAATGGGTCACTCGTTGAACAAAGTGGGTAATGGGAAGGGTATCCATGAAGCCTTAAAGCAAGTCTCTAACCAAAATTCAGTCAGTTGATAAGACTTGGATTTGAAGACTGACATGTTTACAATGAGAAACAGAAATGGAATATATTTTTTTTTTATATTTTTTTTCTCGTCTGACCAAGACGCAATGAAATTTACTAAAGAAATTGTCTCTTTTTGTCACTTGTTGACTAAAGAGCTGGTGAGAGGAAGTGACAAACAACAAATCCCAGATGCGACTGACACCACAAGGATGTGATAAGAATCCCCTGCTGATGGAAATTTTGGATGATAATTGAATTTAATAATTTGGGATAGACCACACCTAGCCTCTGAGGACAGGTTGGATCAGGGAACAAAGAGAGAGGTAAAAGGCCCAGGTAGAATTTCAAGGAAGGCAGAGGAATTGCCTGCACTCTTCAGGCAGTGATGGTGAGAGGTATCAACATGAGATGGAAGGTGTTGGGTGGATCAATATTCTGCCACCATCATTTTTCAGGGGAGGGATCTCCCCAAATTTTGTCAGGCAATCAATTTCCCAACCACTTTATGCCCTGTGCCAGGTTTGCATGAGAGTCCATAAATACAGACGAGTGAGGTGATAGACAAGAAGAAGGAAGCAGACAGCTCAAGATGCAAGTTGGTTCAAGACCCACTTTCCCAAACCCCACACAACTTCTTCAGAAAGAACTCCAGCCTTGTTCCAGTCAATCAAATACAACTGAATGTTCAGCCTAAAGAAATCACAGAGTGGAAGTCAGACTTCAGCCTTGTACCAGTTTACTGAGTGTGGCTAAACATAGTGTCACGGAGTATTAAGGTGCTGAAAACCTACATGTTGTTAATTTAGCGAGTAGAATGTTCATTGTATGAACCTTTGATATAAAGTTGTTGTGCTACAAGCTGTCTCTTAACTTGTTTGTTGTGGTGTCATCTTGCCAAAGCTACTGAATCAGCAATGTTGAGTATAAAACTCAGCCTTCATCCACCCAATGATCTAAAACAAACACAATGTGGGCAGAGTGGGATTGAGGGTCGGGCAACCAACTCCAAGGCTAGCTGTTAGGATCGAACCCGTACTTGCCCAGTGATTGAGGACAGGATTCAGATTGAAAGGTTTGTTACCAGAATTCATCAACAACTTTCTTTCGAATAGTACTTTTCTGATTGGTATTGGGTCTATTCTGTTTGATCAAAAAAAAACAAGGAGGAGTGCCAATACTGTTAGTCACTGTTCAGTATTAAAATTACAAAAAAACTCATTCAAGATATAAATAGACCTTTGTACATGAATGATTTTATTTTCAGTTACTGATCCAAAACACCATAGAAAGGAAACTGCAGTAATGCATAAATAAGATCAACAAATGGGCAATAAATAACAGTTTCAGATTTTCTAAAACTAAAATAAAATGTGTTCATTTTTGTAATAAAAATAAACTGCATAATGATCCAAGATTGCAACTGGAAGGGACAGAAATCCCAATGGTACTTCAATACAAGTTCTTGGGAATAATTCTTGCAATGCTATCTAAAACTAAAAACATGCCCCTCTAACACTGTATACAATATCACATACATTCCAAAATATAGACACCTCTTCCAACAAAAAGAGAAAGTCATAAAAACCTTTGGACTCTGGATAGAACACATCATTAAAGAAGCAGAAACACCTCTAGAATCCATAATCCAATCATACCACCTTGGCCCATAAGAATACCAGAAATAAATCTAAAACTCTAAAAATGTCATAAAGCAAGTGAACATCCACTTATATTCCAAGAGGAATTTGAAAAATCAAATACAATTACCCCAGACATTCATACATCTTCATAGATCTGCAAAAGTGAAACAGCATGTGCAGCCATGTATAACAAGAAAAAAAATCTGTCAAAGGAAACTTCAATTTCCCATGCAGAGATTTGTACAACAGACCTCGCACATGACATCATCTCTAGAAACAAAAATGAAAAATATGTAATATGCTCTGACTCCCTATCATTTATAACAGCAATAAAAATTAAAGACTTCACAACCCACTGCTAGTAAAATTACTATGCAAACTAAATTCGTTATCCAACAGTAAAGAAATGGTGCTATGCTGGATCTAAAGTCACATAGGGATTAGAGAAAATTATCAAGCCAGTTCAACTGCAAAGTCAGCCCAAAATGAAACCCCTGATAATAATTTGAAGATCCCTTATACAGACCTAAAAAGTAAAATAAACAGTTACATTCAACAGAAATAACAAAAGCAGTGGATCAACAATACAAATAATAAACTTCTCACAATCAAACCATTCCTAGCTGAAAGGAAACAAATGTCTAGAAAAGGAAGAAAAGACGCAATAACGCTAACTTGACTACATGTAGGCCACACACATACCTCACCAATCCATATATGCTGAAGAAAGAAGATAAACCAACATGTACAATATACCATGTTTCACTCACAATGAATCACATTTTAATTGAATATACTCACTTAACTCCTATAAGACACAAATACAAGAAAAACATGAGAAAACTATTTGAAAATACTAAAGCCATCACCATAATGTCCTACTTTAAACAAATATGTTTATTCCAAACATATAACACTTACAATAAATCATCTGCAAACTATATATTTAAAAAAACATGTTTATCTTGAAAGTATAAAATTATGTACAAAATATCTGTAGTTGAAGGCATAAAATGCATTCAAAATATATGTAGTTGGTCATAAAATTGTGTACAAAATATTTAGATTTTAGCATTAAGTAACCCATAGAGGTTAATATCCCACTAAACTAAAACAACCAAACCAGATCAATAAGCATAATGGATAACAGCAACAAAGATAAGGACAATAGTCTGCATGTAAATAGTGATAACTCCTTATCCCCAAAATTCAGATTTCTATCTGAATTTTTTGGATGAGTAGATACCACTATTTACAATTTTGTCTTCATGGAAAAAAAAAACCCAAAAAACTATTTAATGAAGACAAATTCAGTTTGTGTGTGGGTCATGAAGTTTATACTTTCATATATCTTTGTTCAATTATTTTTGTGTTACTATACTTAATATGCAATATTCTATCTAGTTTTTCCTTTGCATATTTTTCAGTGGGAAGTTAGTGACAGCTGATGATTTGCTGTCTTTGCTTCTCCCTTTTTGCTCTAATTGCTCTGTCTCTGTGCAGCCCCGACTAAAATTATTGAAATGTTTAGAAATGGTGAGCTCTTTATTTTTGACTGTCTTATTTTTATACTGATGTCAATGAACTTGAAACATCAATTGTTAGTTTTAATTTTGGATTAGTTTTCATAAAGTAGGAAAATATTCTAGATGTGTGCTATTCATTTATTTTCTAATACTTGTGCATTGTTTTGTAGGAAACAGTATTTCAGTATAAGTTTAAAATTGATAAAATAGAATATAAAATCATTCATTATAGATTATGGTTTCTGTCATAGAAGTAGGGATTTAATAAGAATATCAGAACAGGCTATAAACATCTAATACAAAAACTGGTTTAGTTAAATAAAAATGAATTTCTAACAAGAAAATAATACTATAAATTTAGCAATTCATCTTGATATTTCAGATAACATTGTATAAAGAATGTGTTGTTGAACTAATTATCAAGAGGGGGGTCATTACCATCCTATTCAGTTAGAAATAATTTTTGAATAATGTGGGAGAAAATGAATAAACTAGCTCTATTTGCTGAAAATAAATGATCAGCATTGTTGTTCTATGTTGATTTTACAGTAACAAAATCAATGTATTTATAATATTTACATAATCAGCAAGTTTCTTAACCTGTTGAACCTGTAGTACAAATTTAATGGTACAATGCTGTGACATCTAATCACTGAAGATCACTCAACATATTATCAGAATAATGTTATCCATATGAGCAACTTTGTATTATCTATTTGCTGTTCTGTTGTTATATAGGCAGTTTACCTAAATATCAAGAAATTGACAAGTGAGGCCAGGTCTTAGGGTTCAGTGGATTATGGATAAATTTATTAAAAAAAAACAAAAAAAAACTCCTTATTCAATGCTGACCTATACTCTTTTTATACAATCATTGTAATTGGCTTAGGTTTATGAGTTTTTTCTTCACTAAAAGCACCAAAATGTTTACATTTTACAAAAGGCATTTTCAAATCCTAATGCTATAACAACTTGTGTCAATAAAACATGCCTCATAAAAAATGACATGCCATTTATTTAGATATTCTAATTAGGGACAAAAATATTTAAATAGATATTTGTTTGTATACTGAATAATATAAGTATATATCTCACTATATGTTAAATGTTTAGAGCAAAATAAAAATTCAGTTACTCAAGAAAAATCCAACATTTTCAAATTAAAAAATGCTTTTGGTGTAATCTAAATTGTATCTCACAGTCCTTGAAACACACTGATAGGCAGAGGATTGCCAATCTATGATAATTGAGTAATAATTTAGTACATGTTCAATCATGGCATTTAATAAAAATCAAATGACAATTTAATAATAAATAATAAAGTATAAAGTGAAACATTATTCTGAATTTTGTCTTGGGAAAAATTACAAAAATAATAATTGTGCATTCTTTTTATTGTTTTATATTTATTTATTTTTCATTTACTTTTTAGAATTTTAAATTGAAGCCAAAAGATATAGAATTGGTGGTGTTTTATAGAACAAATGCTGTAATTGCTGATTCTTGGCCGCATCAACAAGTGAGATTATTTTTCCATGTACATAATTTGAAGTTGCTTAGAGTTTGATTTGATTATTGACTAGTATATTTATCAAAGGATTTTGTGTAAAGCCCTAATTTCATTACAATGATCTAAAATTAGATAAATTTAATTTAAAATAAGTTGTTATTATGGCTATTTTCTAAAAATAATTTTAAGCACAGTATTTTAAATTACAAATGAAATGTTCTGAATGGAAAAATTACAAAATGTTTATCTTAATTACTTTTTCATTAACTTTTAAACTATATAGCAAAAGATAGTTTGAGTATCCTTATAAACATTATCTCAAATGTTTTTAGAATGGAACTTCTTTGATGATTTCAAAAAGTGATAGGGTTTTATTCCTAATTGAATAATTTTTTTTTTTTGCATGGAAAATCTACATGAATCACTGGCTTAAAATATAAACTAGAATAATCTAACTTTTATACAGATAGCAATAAAATATTCTTTAGTCCAAAAGCATATAAAAATATAAATATTTTACATTTTTTTTATTATCATTAAAAATAAAAATTCTATAAATTTGGTTGGAATAATTTATGAAGCTTTTATATTTATTACTTTTCTATTGTAGCTTGAGAGCAGTGACATCCAAACTGTTGATGCCCGTCAAAAATTGTTTGAAAATTTATTGTCTGCTAGCAGCACTGATGTTCACTATGTAGCTCTCTGCCAACTTCTGAAAATATGGCCTTCTCTAGAGATGCTGAAATTAGGGTAAATATGTAGACACAAATATCTGTAGTTTAAAATGTTTACATGTTTTTTTCTTGATTTTTGAATAACAAGACTTGTTTTTATGTGGCCTTTTTTATATATAAAACACAAAATTACATTTTTCATTAAGTGAATACAACTCATAAGACATGTTTTAATAAGTCAACATTAATAAAATTGATTAATTACAGAGCTTCTTTTCTAGTTACAATTGCAATAATATTTAATGAAACCATTTTTATTATTTTAAGCATAATATATCAGATATAATTTTACATTCTCTGTTAATAAAAAAATGAGTGCAACATTTTAAAGAAATTACCTGCAGACATTTGATAAAACTAAAAAAAAAGAGAAAAATATTAAACATTAATAATAATTATTGCTTTTTTGTCTAGAAATCCTGCTGAAAATCCTTGGGTTAAAATGATCACAACCATGAGTCCTGATGCGATATGTCAAGTATTAAAAGAGATCCCAGAAGAAACACCTTTGAGTAAAGAGGTAGTAGTGGGCATTGATACTCTTCTACATTTGATGCTGAATTAGAAAATTAAATTTATTCATTAGTATCATTAGAAAATGGTTATTCAGTCTGTATTATTAATAAGTGTAGCAAATGAGTCGACTTCAACAGTGTAAGGGACGCAACTCTTTCCATCTGAAAATGTCTGACACGCTGCAATGCAAAGCAATGTACACCAAACACAGGTGTAATGCCGTTCTGCCAATTTCTCCAAGCGACCTGCTTTTATGGAGCCCAGACACACCTCATTAGCATGTGTGTGCGCGACTGCATTGACTGCCGCAGAGACCGTGAATATTAAAAGTCACGGACGTCATCTTGGATCTTTTTCCTTCCTTTCTCAACCCACAGGCCAGGCAGGCCTTGAGGGCATTTGGGAGGTAAACCATTTCTATTTTCCCCACACTCCCCCTGATCTCATGATCACAGAGTTGACAGGAGGCGGTGATCGCTTTGGCGGGTGCTTCTTGAAGAGGGATATATGCGAGCCTCATCGTTGCTTATGCTCCTGTCCGAGGTCTGAGGGTTGAAAAACACTGCGTCCCTTGGAAGACTACTGATATCTGAGTCACTGCCTGATGGAGCTGGCGTGAACCAGAGTGATGCCTCACTGGTCTCAGATTCCGATTCGCTCTCATCGTCCAGCGGTGGTTGCAACTGCGTCTCCGGACGCAGGTCCTTAACATGACGGGGCACACCGTCGACCTGTACCGCCTGTGGGCTGATCACCTCAGTGACACGTCCGGTTCTGTATTTCGTTGTGCACTTGCTGTGCGGGTTTTTAATCCAGACGACATCGCCTTTCTTCAGTCTCTCTCCGGTTACTTTCTGTTCCGTCAGCGGGTTGGTCTCTATGCCCTTCACTCTGGCGTGGTACCTATGCAATGTGTCTGCTGGTGCGTGGGGTGAGACATCATCCTTCGGGTCACGTTGTATAAGTAGACCGCCTCAGACACCGCGCAGCCCGTCCTGGCTGCGATGGTCTTAACGGTCATGTGGTTCCGCTTTGATGATTCCATTTCCACTCGGTACATGGGCGCACTGGAACCGTAGGTGCACTCCCCAGCCATCCGCAAACCTCCCGAATTGCTCACTGGTGAATGCGGTGCCATTGTCGGTTAATATCTTTGTTGGGGGGCCATGTTCAAGGAAGATACTGTTTAACTGCCGGATGATAGTGGCTTCATCTTGCCGACACAGCAGCCGCCATATCGCAAACCTGGATGGACCGCAATCAATTAGTGTCAGGAAATCCTCGCCATTGTGGTGAGTAACATCTATCGCCAGCCGGCTCCAGTGGCTCCTCACGCTCAGCTGCCCTTTCTTCCAGCGATCGGGTGCTGGGTCTATAGACTGGCACGCCATGCAGCTTCTGACCACTCTCCTGGCGTCTGTCTTTTGTACTCCTGGGTCAACCAACTTGGCGAAATACAGTGTCCACTTGACTCCAGGGTGCCCGCTTTGTTGGTGGACTTCTTTGATTTGATTAAATCGAACGGGACTCACGGACGCAGTGCAGGCGGGTTGCATGGGCTCAATAGCTTTCTTAGCGGTGTCAAGCCACCTTTGGGGCACCCTCGTTAAACAATCTGCTTTGTTGAGGCTAGATTTGACCAGGGACACCTCTATTGTCAGTGCGTACTCTTGCACTAGCTTCACAATTGTGTTGAGCCATCGTCGGATAAGCATCTCGCTGGTGGCTTTAGTCCGCACCCTGGCCCTCCTGGTCAGGGTATCAGAGATCTAATTATAAACGCAAGTGGAATCAGTGAACAGACGCAGGGTGGTCGACTTCCAGAGGATCGCCAAGTTGATCCCCTTAATGACAGCATCGAGCTCCGCTAGGTTTATGTGCTGGGAGTCCCTTTCTGGATGTAACCAGCAAGCATCTTCCACCACGGCTCCATCGCGAACTATCGATACGCCGGTTGCAAGAGAGTTTGCGTCAAACCACACACCAAGGTCTTGGCTGTCAACGCACCATCTGCCCCGCGCTGGGTCTTCTTTGTGTACTCTAGCGAAGACCTCCCTCATCATGGTGTTGAGAGAGGCGTCGTGAACTTTGTCATCCCATCCAGTGGTGACGTCAGATGCTCTCCGCTTGATATCAACGCCACTGCAACACGCAGCCAGCTACCTACAGGAAGGTGCCCAACTAACTTGCCGCACAAGGAAAATATGCTTCGCCGCATGACAACGGGGGGCATGTCTGGAAGTTCATTTCCCCGTTTCCAATACAGAATGTCATCTTCTCCCCAGACCTGCAAACCAAGCACCCGTGCACCATCCTGTAGCCTCTCCGGTTGCTTGCTGAGGAGGCCAAAGTTGTAGAGATGCTCCTTCACGCGCGCCGCAGATATGACTCCCTCGTTCACGTACACGTCATCAATATATGCAGATGTTGCCCGCTGTATGCGCTCATCTTTCGTCAGAATGGCGTCAACAATCATCTGCATAATCGATGGCGCCACATTGAGTCCAAACCCCATGCGGGTCAGGCAATACCTTTGCCCCTTGATAAGCACAGTTTGATAGAGCCACAGTGATTGGTGCTACGCGCGAAGTTATGCCTTGCGAAGATCCAGCACAGATACATTTGATCCTGCTTGTCGCCATTCCCTTAGCTTCTCGGTACACATGTCCGTGCAGGCTGTAAAAGGGTCCACGTGCTCATTCAGTTCCCGATAGTCAAGCACCGGCCTCACCTTTTGTTCGTTGTGCTGGAGAACCGCCATTAGTGGGGTCAGGCCCTTCGGGGGCCCCAATTCCTTCTCTGGATAAGGAACCAACCATCCGTTATTAATCCAGGCTCACAACTCCTTGTCGTACTCCGCACGAGCTCGCGGGGGGGATTTTATACTCCGGCACACTGTTGTACAGCTTCTCTGGCGGTTGATCGTCCGACCATTTCCAGGATACCGTCCAGGACTTTGTGCGCTGGTTGAACTCCGCACGAAAGTCAGGCCGTTCCAGCTCTATTGCTGCACCTAGAGCAAAGACCTGTTTCAGTGAAAACGCGCCCGACCCTCTTCGTCAACATGGGCGCCACCCAATTTTTGATGGCGTCCATTCCCAGGAGCAGATCATAGCCCGAGCAGCCCTCCGTCCCGACCAGGGCTTGTACAGCTACTGCAGGCCCATCGCCGATGCTTGAAGATGGCGCTCACTCCACAAGAGGCTAGCGAGTCCCGCCAACAGTCAGAACTGGAATATTTTTCTCGTCCCATGTGTCACAACATGCCTTGCGCTGGGGTCTGGGTGCACCCGGTGTCAACAAGCGCCAGCGCTCCGCCCGTTAATCCGCCGCGCTCACTGCGGGTAGCGCCTTGTTCAGCGGCGATCTGGGGAAGACTGGTGCTGTAGCTTACTCCCCTTGCCCGTTTCCCGGACAGCTTCTTGCTACGTAGCCCAGCTTGTCGCACCTGTAGCAACGCTATACGTCTCCGTGTTCCTCGGTTATGCATATCCCCGCACCGCTTTGGCAGTCTTTGGAGAAGTGGTTCAGTCCGCCACATTTATAGCACCTTATGTCCTCAGTTGGCGGTGCGGGTGCTTCCACAGCTGCTGAGACCGGCTCCGCGTCGTCCTTTAGAATATTCGGGCTCTGGCCAAGTAACTCGTCTAGCACCAGCTCATTGACCCTTAGCGATCCTCGTAGCAGTCGACTGGCGTTGTCTGGGGAGTCCTGCCAGAAAAGGCGCATCCTAGGATTTGGTAAACACTCCACCGAGCAGTGCGGCCAGCTTCCTCAAATCGGCCAGAAAGACATCTACTGTTTCATCTGGCCCAAGCAGTCATTCGGTGAACTGCCTCCAGGCGACAAAGGGGTCTGCACCGAATGCTGCGTATAGAGCTTGTTTTATTTCCTCCAAGTCTGCGTCATCCCTTAGCTGCTGATACACAGCGTAAGCTCCTTTGGTGAGCCTAAGAGGGATGACCAGTGCGGGATCTTTAATTTTACACAGCCGGCAGACCCGCTTGGCCTTTTCCCACTACTCGACCACAGACGGGCCAGCGGGGGAGCTTCAAGTCGAATCTGTCCATGTTGTAATAATGGCCAAAATAGCTTGTAGCAAATGAGTCGACTTCATTAGAAGTGTGAGAAAAATATTAAACATTAATAATAATTATTGCTTTTTTGTCTAGAAATCCTGCTGAAAATCATTGGGTTAAAATGATCACAACCATGAGTCCTGATGCGATATGTCAAGTATTAAAAGAGATCCCAGAAGAAACACCGTTGAGTAAAGAGGTAGTAGTGGGCATTGATACTCTTCTACATTTGATGCTGAATTAGAAAATTAAATTTATTCATTAGTATCATTAGAAAATGGTTATTCAGTCTGTATTATTAATAAGTGTAGCAAATGAGTCGACTTCAACAGTGTAAGGGACGCAACTCTTTCCGTCTGAAAATGTCTGACACGCTGCAATGCAAAGCAATGTACACCAAACACAGGTGTAATGCCGTTCTGCCAATTTCTCCAAGCGACCTGCTTTTATGGAGCCCAGACACACCTCATTAGCATGTGTGTAACGCGACTTTGCGTGACTGCACAAGACCGTGAATATTAAAAGTCACGGACGTAATCTTGGATCTTTTCTTTCCTTTCTCAACCCACAGGCCAAGCAGACGCGAGGGCGTTTGGGAGGTAAACCATTTCTATTTTCCCCACAATAAGTTATAATTTATGCACTCATTATGATGAAAACTACTACTGCATTTACTTGGTACACAGATTGTTTTGTTACCAGTTTATAAAAGTATGAAATGAAATTCACAAAAGGTCATTCACTCCCAGCGACATTGGGTCTGAGCATTTGGTTTATTACTAATTTATTACAAAAAGTCCTTAGTTTTTAAAGATGTCCACTAGGCCCTCTAAGTTTTTCCATTAACGGAACAACAAAATTGATTAGCATGTTCTTCATAGCAGACCATTAATTTGGCTAATCCTGTGCTGTCATTGGCTAAGAAAGAAGCTGATTTACATTTTTGTTGACCTCATCCAGTGGCAAGGTATTTTTTCCACATAAACAAGATGCCATATGAAAGCACTTAGGCATTTGAGGTATGTCACCATTTTCTTCAGTACACTCCTCCCTGATCTCATGAACACAGATATGACAACTAGGTGCAGGTCTTTCTATTCTGGTACTTTGTCATGGTGAGGAGGGAATCCCTTCTTCCAGGAACTCACTTTCCAAGAAATCATCATCATCGTTTGGTTCAAGTCCTGAGTTATCTCCATCATAAGAGCTATTGAATGTGCTGAATCCAAGCACCCTCAAACATTTAGAGGATGTGCTTTATGTACTGCCTGTGTCACTCTCTTATGTAATAGAACTCATAATAGAGCAGAGATTTTTCAGGTGGTATAGCATTCCATCAGCCAAAATTGCATATGGACTGCTGATACCAGTTACAAGCCCCACCTGATATCTCAAAGTGCATTGTTTGTGTGAGTTTTTTACCCACACACAGTCTCCCACTTTGAACAGCATGTGCTCTTTCTGATGTTTTAATGGAAATGTTGCATCAATACCTTTTACTTTGACTTGATAGTGATGGATCATGTTAATGTGCACAGTAATGGGTGAGATTTTATCTTATTATACCAGTAGATTTGCCTCCATGATCAAGCATTTCTGGTGGCAGTTCTTTTAACACTTGAATAACTTCTCTCAATTATACCGTTGCCTGCAGGGATGTATGCATATTGAGAAGTGAAGTTGGACAAAACAAAAAACTAAAAGAACTTTTTGACAGTATCATTATCTGTGGGAAGTTCTACTGTTGAGCTTCAGTTGTAAAAGAGGGCCTCTCAATAATGGATGACACTTATTGAATTCTGTTGATGCAGGGGTTGTCAAATTGCAAATCAGCTTAGGCCATAGTCGATCAGCATTAGATAGTAATTTCCATTATAGTGGGTAATATCCATTCCTAATTAATTCCACAAATCAGTCAAAGTCAGCTCACCTCGTAGCCAACATATTGAGGCTGGGTCAATTGATTGGCACTTCTAGCATTCACAAAATGACATATGAAGCATAATATATGCTTGATGCTAAGTTACGAGTTCAGCACTGGATGCATCTACTGATACAGCGCAAGTAGATTTGACTTTTCATATTGCATCTGACCATTTTTGTGACATACTTGTCAGTCCATCTCTCTGGTTCTGGTCTAATCTGGTAAACATCATACCCACAGATAATACATACTCATGCACTAACTTCTCCAGAGTACCAAGCCATCGTCAGATGAGCCTTTCACATGCAGCTATGGTGCATACTCTGGCTTTTCTCGTGAGCATGTCAGACATTCACTGTACATGTCTGTAAAAAGATACATTTGGTTGTGCCACAGGGTTGACTATTCAGGATGCCATCAAGCTCTGCCAATTTAATATACTGTGCATTATTCACTGGATGCAGCTGGCTTGCATTTTTGATGATGGATCCTTTTAGTTCTACTGAGACACTGGTGGCAAGAGAGCGCACATCGACCTACATCTCCAATGTGTCTATGTTTACACATCACTTGCTGCATGTAGGGTTTTTGTAATGTATACTAGCAATAATTTCTGTTATCATATTTTTAAGAGGGGGATTATTCACCTCGTCATCACAGCCAGCTGTGACTGCTGTTGCTCTGTGTGTGATAAAAGCTGTTGCAACCCTGAGCCAGTTGCAAATAGGGAGGTGTCCCACCAGTTATCCACACAATTAAAATACTGTGCAGTGGGTTATCAGTTCTGGCACCTCTTGAACCTTGTTTTCACACTTCCAATAGACTGTTGTACTCTCTTCCAGACATACAAACCAAGCCCTCAAGGATTGCTTTTTAACAACTCCGGCTCCTTACTTTTCAATTTTTGGTTAAATGTTATACTCATGTTACTGATGCAATACTTTCATCAACATATATGTCATCTATATATGCTGATGTTGCCTGTTGAATAGCATTATCTCTGTCCAGAATTAATTTCATTATTGCTGATGTCACATTCAGTTCAACACTGGGTTAAACAACATTGCCGCCCTTGAAGAGCACTGTCTGGAATGACTACAGTGACTTGTGTACATGCAATTGCAAGTAAGCCTTCTGCTGGTAAAGGAATGGAGACATTAGACCCTTTTTGTTGCCACTCCCTCAATATCAGTGTGTACACATTGGCATCAGCTATGTGAGTGTGAATGTTTTAGTTCAGCTCATGGTAGTCTAACATGGGACACACCTTCCCCTTATTCTCTTACACCACTGCCATAAATGGGATTAGGTGCTTTTTTGTTCTTTTCAGGGGTAAGGTAGCAACCATCTTTTGTTTAGTCATGTCTGCAACTCTTATTCATATTCCTCTCTGACTTGTTTGGAAACAAAATACTCAGGCACCACATTTTGCTGATGCTCTGGCAGATGACCATTTCCACTTTGTAGTCCAGATATTTGTCATCAATTTCAGCACTAAAGTCTGGTTCATCAACTTTAATGGCTCCCAATATCAGCAACATCTGTTGTAAAAATATAGGAATCATGTCGAATCCCAGCAATTTACTGTTCAAACTAGAACTGTGAATTTAACTCTATTCATCTATCTTTAGCTCTATGGTACCAATTTCTCAACTCTTAAGGACCTGTCTGTTGGCTGTCAGCAGATGTTCTCTTTGCTCCAGAGAAGACATTCTGAATTATTCTTGAGAGAGTGGGAACAACTTTAATCCATTAAAGCCATACACGGTTTACCATTTATGTGCATTTTCATCACTGGGAGCACCTCATTTGTTTCTTTTGTGAGTAGGGGAAAGCAACACTGACATCCTTCTTGTTCCCTAGTTGTTTCCCTGTGACTGTGCAGCAATATGACTTAGTTCTCAGCATTAAAAATACTGTACTTCTTGGTGGACCTTTCACAAACACCTGGTGTATATATCCACAGGTTAATATTGGCAATTCCTGGCATAAAGATTAAGTCCAGTGCACCTGTAGCAGTTAATGTTAGCAGGACAATTAGTGAAGGGCATAGGAAAGTCTGTTTTAACTGTACACATATCTACTGCAACTGGTTCTTCAGTTGTCATCTCATCCTTCATAACTGCATGGGCCTGAGCCATCAGTTAATTTACAGTCTTCTCATCTACCTTTGATGATGCACACAGTAAGTACTTCACATGATTCGGCAGTCCTGTCACAAAAATATATATCAGACTCTGTTTCAACATTCCCCCAAACCACAAAGCAAGCTTTCACAGGTCTGCAAGATATATATAAACAGACTCTCCAGAGTATAGATGACAGGCCAAAAACTGTTCATAGTGCATAAACTTGTCTGTTACAAAAGCAGTTTATAGGGCTTGCTTTATTTGTGCAATATCTGACTTCTCCTCGCTAAGCTGTTCATTAAACTGCAGAGGCTCTGCCTCTCAAGCAAAGTGGAAGAATGTGTTCCAGTCTTTTCTTCTTTCAAATTCAGTAAACAAGCTCTGTCTTTTCAAGCTATTCAAGCATGAGTGGACTCATGCTTGTCTGCCATGTTTTAATAGTTGCATGGGTCTGGCTGAAAGCAGTCTACTGGACCCTCTAAGTTTTTTCATTCACAAAGCAATGAAATTGATTAGCATTTTCTCTGCAACAGTCCCTTAATTTGGCAAACTTTGGGCTGTGACTGGCTAAGAGTGAAGCTGATTTACATCTTTGTTGATTCCAGTGGAGAAATATTTTTTTTTTAACAAAAACAACATGCCACATGAAAGCATTTTAGCCTTTGGGGTATGTTGTCATTGAAATTTAATTCTTTTTAATTTCCTACCTAAGTATAAAAGATAATTTATGTGGCAAGTAATATTAATCTGTTAAGCAAAAAATAAAGTAGAACAGAGATGTATGTATTGCTTTGAGGATTAAAAAAAGAAAGCCACTGGTTAATGTAATTAAATTTTTCAAAGCATGTTTAAAATATTGAATTTTAAAAGCTTTTAAAAAGAAAGTTTCTTTTGGTATTATTTTTTTGAAGAAATACTTTTTTTATTATTTTCCTTAGTGTGTCAGCTTTATTGTTGATAATCTCTTGTCAAAGAAGCATATGGTGTCAGCTGTTAAAACAGCTCTTATGTCTTCTTATAAGGACTTACAGAAGGATATCATCAAGCAACTACACTTACAGAAAAAGGTAACAACATTAAAGAAATATTTAAAATGAAAAAAATAATTTCTAAAAATGTCTTTATCAAAAACAGAATAGATAAGTAAATTGTCAGAAAGTAATTCAATATGTTGGTATGTTTGTTTGATGCAATACGCATTTTAACTAATATGAACGAGTGATGTAGTGGTAATAATATTAATTTTTGTTATACATTAGGTTTTTATACAAAATATTGAAAATCATTAATATATGAAATTAGATAATAAAAACATTGTCATGAAAGCAAATGTAATTTATCAGCTACAGAATTTGTTGAATTTATAAAATGCATTATATGTTTATAATTTATAAATGCATTAAATGTTTTATAGAATACATCCTTTTATCTTAAAACATACTTAATAGGAAAATCACTAAAAGGGAATTGTCATAATTATTTAAAGTTATTTCTATAAAAGTTTTTTTTTTAACATATTTTCTTTTTTTTCAGGCTGCACTGGACACTGAATTATATTGGTTGATCTTGAGGAACCAGCTTATGGCTATCACTGTTGGTAGTTGTTATTATGAACCATTGGTCAATTTCATTTTGGATCAACAAGAAGCATTTCGAGATTCTTTGGTGCCTGACTACTTAGATGTTGATGTCATCTCACAGGATTTGATTGCTGAGGGATTTGAAGCTGAGGCAGGTACACTTCAACTGAAAGCTCATGGCACGCAACCAATGTTACAAACATTTAGTGCTGCTCTTGGTGTATGTAAACATTGGTTAAAATTATGATCCAAGCAGGAAAAGATTTTATTGAATATCTAACAAGCATGTTATTTTGGAAGATTAAACAATTTTTTATATTAAAATATAAAAAATAGCTGTTTTTTTATTTAATTATTTAAGATTAAAGACATGAATGCACAGGTAATATAAGTCATTGATACAGAAAATGGAATTTATGAATTAGGCAAGTTCTGATTGCCTACTCTGTTGTGTTCACTTTAATGCCCTTAGGAAAAGCACAAATCCATCTCTTCTCCTCTTCACTAACTATTGGTTAAATAGCTGGGTAGACTGGGCTCTCTTACTTTGGGTGGTAACCAGTCTAGAAGAAGAACCACTCTGAACAATAGAAAAAGCAATGAGAATTTACTCCATTATCTTTCCTAAGTGATGAATTGACAATTTATCATACTTATTATAAAACACAGGTTGTGTGTGTGTGTCTGTTCATTTATATATTGGATCGGATTACCTACATTTTTCAACCGATTTCAACAAAACTTCACAGGACTACATAAAATTACCTTGCGGTGATCCTGACAGCGACAAAAATTGGAAAAACACAATTGTTTTTGTACAAAATCAATTTGAAAACACGATTAAGAGGCATCGCTGTTGCGAGAATAAAAAGGAGACAACTCATATCGAGTTATACTTATTATAAAACCCAGGTTGTTTGTGTGTGTGTGTGTGTTTGTGTGTGTGTTCGTTTATATATGGGATCAGATTTCCTACATTTTTCAACCGATTTCAACAAAACTTCACTTTTTGGGGGGCAGGTAGTGTTTCTTATTGTCTTGCACACTTTTTTCTTTATTTTTACATTCAGAATGCTTTAAAAATTCCATTTACAAGACAATTGTTTATAATAAAATTCTATTCAATCGGTAGACTCATAACGATTGAAAACAATGTTTTTGTTTGAGTTTGACCAATTCGTAAAAAAAAAAAAAAAAAAAACTAATTAAGACATGCGTGTCCGTCAACCTTAAACAATAATCTTTGTCAGTTTTATTTTTCAGTCTTTATGATGGTCGATACTTGATCTATCTCTTACTGTTACATCCCCAGGCAACGGCAGGCTCTATTGCTAGTAGATAATAAATGAAAAGAATCTGGACAGCCATAATCACCTTTGTCATGAAGAAATATGACATTTAAAAAAAATAAAATAAAGACAATGAGCAAACAAGCATTATTTTACAGTAATTTATTTTGTGTATATATTAAAAAGATGCATGAGGTTTGAGCCTATTAAGAATTTGATTTACACTGTAAAAAAGTGGATAAAAATATATAAAATTGAGGAAACTTGAATTTTAGAGAAATTGAGATTTTAATAACATCTAACAAAATTTTGATAAAGTTTTTAAAATTTGTTTAATCTTAATAAATTTCCCAACCAGCTTAAATTCCTAAAAGTGAAAGTTTCTTTTATGATGTTTTATTGCATTAATTGACTTTGAGAAGAAAAAATTACACTTTTTTGAAGGTGTGCTTTACATAGTGTATATATGCTTTTTAAGAAAATCAGCATAATGGAGTATCATTGGATAAAGGAATCGGTGGAATTTTGATATCCCCAAAATAAACTATTGTGCAATATAAGATATTAAATAAGAAATCCTCACTCAACTTTTCTCAAACATTGCATAATTATAATTGGGTTACTAATGATAATATAGATATGGATGCTTACTGAAAGAAAAAACAAGACTTTTTGAAAAAAAATGATTGTTTTTTATTGAATCACAAGCACTTTCATCCATCCTTATGATTCAATCAAAATATTCAAGAGAAATACTTTCAGTGTGTTCATTGGTTGTTTATTGTTATTTTGGGGGATATTGAGTAAAACTTATTTTTACAAGTATCCTATTCAAAACCGCTTTGAAATGAATGCTCAGCAGACAGAAAAGCCTTTTTTTGTGAATAGTTAGAAATTCACACTATATATTTTATTCATGTTGAAATCAATAATCTCTTTGTAATGAAACAAAGTTTAGCAAGTTTACTAATCTATGATTAATTTGCAACTTATAATACATGTTATTTAAAGTATTTGTACTCTATTAGGCCAGATGAGCAACAATAGAATACTCCAAGTGTCTGTAATTGTTCATTTAACAGCATGAATCTAGGCTCAATTGCAAGGGAGATAAGTAACACACAAGTTCAGATTGATAAGGTAAATATACATGTAGATTGTAAATATTACACTCTCCTGCTTTAAAAGTTCAAGCATTAGGAATGGCAACTGTTAATAGAATTTGGGAGGCATGGGGTCTGATTCATTACAGGGTTTTTCAGCATTTTTTATTTCTGAGCCACCTGATTCTTGTGTTCCTTTAGTAGTACAAAGTGTTGCAACTTTGGAAATATGAATAGATTTTTTAAATTCCCTCTACAACTACAATTTCATCAGGTCTAAAAATAAACACATAAAAGCAGACTTCATGTCAACAAGTGACATTAACATTTATCCTTAGATGAGATTTTGATATAATACCACTTTCAATTGATGATTGGATATGGCATGTTTCAGGAATATTGGCTATAGCTGAGGCTTATAAACAAATTCAAACTGCAAATCATCATTAGAAGAGGAAATGCAGGAGAACCATTCCAATTGTGCAGAAAATAAATTTCATCAGTTCCAGTAAATGTCTTTATTCATTTCAGTCTTTTTTTTTAACCTTTGAAAATAAATGAGTTTAAAGCTTTACAAGAAACATTTGTTTGAAGGATTGAATAATGATTCATTTTATGAAACAAATTTCTAACTTTTGTAATCATTGCTGTCCCTTTTTGACAAGTTAAAAATTGGATAATTTTACAAAATTTTCCAAAATTAGATACATCTATGTCAAAGGGTATTCATATTACAGAAAAAAGAGATGTTTTATTTGAATTTCTCATCCCAAAATTAGTAAAGTTTCATAGTTTCAGACAAGTACCTCCAATGGATACTTTTTATGGCAAGTTCAGGATGGTGTACTTTTGATCTGTTTTTGCCCTACTGTCGAATTATGCTTCTGTCTGTTTTTGCATAGAGTTTTTTTTTTATTTATGTACTACTGAAATAATAGCTTCAAATCTGTTGTGCTATGAGCCATAGGAAGAAGTTGCAAGGCATTAACTGTTGTAATGAAACTTACATGTGGAGTTAGAATTGCCCTTCTCTGTCATTTTTTAACTATTTCATTTTTGAGAATGCAATTTTTCCCAATGTTTAGGCTGGTCTGATTTAATAATTATTGATTACATTAGTATCATCTTTCTTTTATTTCAAGACTACCAATATGATATTACATTTATAATGCTTTTTCCGTTGTTTGAAGCTTGCATCCTTACTTGTAAACAGTTAAAATTGGATTCTTGTCAAACAGAACATGAATCAGAAATGTTCTAACTTTGAATGGTCATAACTTGTTTGCCTAATGGGCTATCAAAATAAATTTGATACCATTTTTTATGTTTTATCAAGCTGTATTAAAAGTTTTTAGATATATTGAAAATAAAATGTTAGTTTGGGACATCTAGTTAGAGTTCTTTTGTGCACTTAAAGAGATGATAATTGTTTTTTATATATATATATATATATATATATATATATATATATATATATATATATATAGGAAAATCTCCATACCATGAATGCTTTAACATCCACAATTGAAATTGCATCTTGGCATTTGAGATCAAAGAGAAATCGAAGAAATTGTATTCAATGTAGAAAATGTATGTTCAGAGAAAAAGCTGCAAGTCATTTACAATAGGAAATTGAACAAATGGGTAGAGAGAATAATGTACAGAGAAAAATGTGGGCTTCTTTGAAGTTGTATTTTGTATGAACACTTGTACATTTTTTTTTTATTATTATTTCTAACCACATGCAGATAAAATTTTGTTTTTACAACCATGTGAAAAATAAAAATGTTTTCTGTCATAGGAAGGAAGGAAAAAGATCCCATGTGGTATGAAATAAATATATAGAGCAACCTTTTGGAAAGAGCGAGATAGACAGCTATGCAGTGTTTGGAAGAGGGCCATGATATCAAATTTACTATAATAAATTGTCTCAACTGCTTCATCCAGAAGGCTGTCTTGTTTTGGAGAATTAAAGAAAAAAAACAACCAAGTTAATGTTATATTATTTAAACAAGGTTCCTTATTTTACTACAGGATAACAACTAACACAATCAACAAAAAATGCAACTTCCTGCAAATGAAATTCAGTTAGAAATGGCAAATTATTTAATGAGACACTTGTTTCTGCTTATTGTTTGATAACTTCTCCATATCAGTTGAAATATTTTTTGATGACAGACATAAAAGCATCATCATGGTGGTCATCACCAAACCTTGTTCTTAAATAATTTTTAATATACTTCATTTTCAAAAAATGTTGTTCACAAGCATATGTACTTCCAAATAATGCTACCATCATTTTCACATTATTCAATAGGCTTTTGTATTTTCCATTTGGCAAAACATATTTCTTATAGAAGTCAGCTGTGGATTCAAAATTAAATTTTGATTGCATTGTAAATTGATTAACTCCAACTGATATTTTTCTGCCATTTGCTCAAATGTCTGTTTCATAGGGAGTACCAAATAATTTAAATTGATTGTCATATTGCCAGAAGTTAGGGAAATGGGAGGAAAACTTGCTTCTAAAATTCTAAATAGTGCTCACAAAGTATTATATCTCTCTTGTGATTTTTGAGATTTGAAAAATCTGTGTAGTTTTGTTTCTGAAGTTGTGATTCTCACAGTCAAAGTTTTCTTTCAAAAGCAATAATTTGACCAAATATCTCAAATATAAGCTTGAAATTGGCAATGATATAGTCCTCTTGACAGTATAAAATTCACTGTTTTCACAACCATTGTAATGATGTCCTTAAAATTCAATGACTTTGCACATGATGTTTTCTGATGGGTAATGCAAGGAAATTTGATTAGTTTGTGATCAATACCAATGTGTTCTTGGAGCAATGCAACAA